GATGTAAAGTGCCTTGTATAGTGACTGTTGTGAGCCTCTTGTTGATCACTTGTGACACAAAAGATTATTGATGTGTACACTTGTGTGGGTGATTAAATATGTATGTGTATGTATATATGTATACGTATGCAGAATAACCACATGTGAAAAATAAAAAATGTTTAACGCGTTTTCGGCTAATTCCCCTTCTTCAGAGCAAAGTAGAATCATTCTACTTTGCTCTGATGAAGGCGAATTAGCCGAAAACGCGTTAAGCATTTTCTAATTTTTGCATGTGGTTATTCTGCATACTTGGATCAGTGTTTTTGTGATCATTATTGCATGTATACGTATATATATATATATATATATATATATATATATATATATATATATATATATATATATATATATATATATATATATATATATATATATATATATATATATATGTCGTACCTAATAGCCAGAACGCACTTCTCAGCCTACTATTCAAGGCCCGATTTGCCTAATAAGCCAAGTTTTCATGAATTAATGTTTTTTCGTCTACCTAACCTACCTAACCTAACCTAACCTAGCTTTTTTTGGCTACCTAACCTAACCTTACCTATAAATATAGGCTAGGTTAGGTTAGGTAGGGTTGGTTAGGTTCGGTCATATATCTACGTTAATTTTAACTCCAATAACAAAAAATTGACCTCATACATAGAGAAAAGGGTTGCTTTATCATTTCATAAGAAAAGAATTATAGTAAATATATTAATTCAGGAAAACTTGGCTTATTAGGCAAATCGGGCCTTGAATAGTAGGCTGAGAAGTGAGTTCTGGCTACTAGGTACGACATATATAGGCCCAATTTGCCTAATAAGCCAAGTTTTCCTGAATTAATATATTTTCTCTAATTTTTTTCTTATGAAATGATAAAGCTACCCATTTCATTACGTAAGAAGTAAATTTTTTTTATTGGAGTTAAAATTAACGTAGATATATAACCGAACCTAACCAACCTAAAGATAAGATAACCCTACCTAACCTAACCTATCTTTATAGGTTAGGTTAGGTTAGTTAGCCGAAAAAGTTAGGTTAGGTTAGGTTAGGTAGGTTAGGTAGTCGAAAAAACATTAATTCATGAAAACTTGGCTTATTAGGCAAATCGGGCCTTGCATAGTAGGCTGAAAAGTGCGTTCTGGCTACTAGGTACGACATATATATATATATATATATATATATATATATATATATATATATATATATATATATATATATATATATATATATATATATTTATATATATATTTATATATATATATATATATATATATATATATATATATATATATATATATATATATATATATTTCATTGAATATGACCGCATATTCTGTATTTATTATTTTCTGGTTTAGGGCTTCTATCCCTCTAACTATTTTCTTAGCATCAGGGCTTAATTGAAATAGGAGTTCTCCAAAACTCATTTTCGTACTTTTAAGGTGAAGAAAAGAAGTGATTTACTATAGAGTGTATTACACTTATTTGTATAATTTGCACGACGTTTCGAACCTCCATGGTTCATTCTCAAGTGAACAGATCTTACAATACTAGTTGATTTTATACCCGCATTAGGTCAGGTGATAATACAATGAAGGTGAAAACATAGGGGGATACATAAGGGATAAACATAGGGGCTGCAGAAGGCTTATTGGCCCATACGAGGCATCTCCTATCAAAGATTAATCCAGTGTAATTGGCCTGTTATGTTGGACATTGTCTTCTGTGTTGGCATCGATATGTTCTTGTCTTGTCCTTACTCTCATGGTGGGTAGAGTAAATAGTTCCGTGATTTGGGTGTTCATGGTAGGTCGCTCTATTCTTATGTGAATTGCCTCAAGAATTTGTAATCTTCTTGAATCTTGGGTTTTGTCTATTATGCAAGTATTCTTGTTCAACATTTCTCTTGTTAGATTTCTAACAAGAGAAATGTTGAACAAGAATACTGCGCTACTGTGTGTGAACACTGTGGTATAGTGGCGCTACTGTGTGTGAACACTGTGGTATAGTGGCGCTACTGTGTGTCAACACTGTGGTATAGTGGCGCTACTGTGTGTCAACACTGTGGTATAGTGGCGCTACTGTGTGTGAACACTGTGGTATAGTGGCGCTACTGTGTGTGAACACTGTGGTATAGTGGCGCTACTGTGTGTCAACACTGTGGTATAGTGGCAATACTGTGTGTCAACACTGTGGTACAGTGGCGCTACTGTGTGTGAACACTGTGGTATAGTGGCGCTACTGTGTGTGAACACTGTGGTATAGTGGCGCTACTGTGTGTGAACACTGTGGTATAGTGGCGCTACTGTGTGTCAACACTGTGGTATAGTGGCGCTACTGTGTGTCAACACTGTGGTATAGTGGCGCTACTGTGTGTGAACACTGTGGTATAGTGGCGCTACTGTGTGTGAACACTGTGGTATAGTGGCGCTACTGTGTGTCAACACTGTGGTATAGTGGCGCTACTGTGTGTCAACACTGTGGTATAGTGGCGCTACTGTGTGTCAACACTGTGGTATAGTGGCGCTACTGTGTGTGAACACTGTGGTATAGTGGCGCTACTGTGTGTGAACACTGTGGTATAGTGGCGCTACTGTGTGTCAACACTGTGGTATAGTGGCGCTACAGTGTGTGAACACTGTGGTATAGTGGCGCTACTGTGTGTGAACACTGTGGTATAGTGGCGCTACTGTGTGTGAACACTGTGGTATAGTGGCGCTACTGTGTGTCAACACTGTGGTATAGTGGCGCTACTGTGTGTCAACACTGTGGTATAGTGGCGCTACTGTGTGTCAACACTGTGGTATAGTGGCGCTACTGTGTGTCAACACTGTGGTATAGTGGCGCTACTGTGTGTCAACACTGTGGTATAGTGGCGCTACTGTGTGTCAACACTGTGGTATAGTGGCGCTACTGTGTGTCAACACTGTGGTGAGGGAGCACAGGGAACACAACACCTTAAGGTCTTACACTACACGAGTCACTGTGGTCACTACCACTACACGAGTCACTGTGGTCACTACCACTACACGAGTCAGGTAACTGGTCACTACCACTACACGAGTCAGGTAACTGGTCACTACCACTACACGAGTCGGGTAACTGGTCACTACCACTACACGAGTCAGGTAACTGGTCACTACCACTACACGAGTCGGGTAACTGGTCACTACCACTACACGAGTCGGGTAACTGGTCACTACCACTACACGAGTCGGGTAACTGGTCACTACCACTACACGAGTCAGGTAGCTGGTCACTACCACAACACGAGTCAGGTAACTGGTCACTACCACAACACGAGTCAGGTAACTGGTCACTACCACTACACGAGTCAGGTAACTGGTCACTACCACTACACGAGTCGGGTAACTGGTCACTACCACTACACGAGTCGGGTAACTGGTCACTACCACTACACGAGTCGGGTAACTGGTCACTACCACTACACGAGTCGGGTAACTGGTCACTACCACTACACGAGTCGGGTAACTGGTCACTACCACTACACGAGTCGGGTAACTGGGGTCACTACCACTACACGAGTCGGGTAACTGGGGTCACTACCACTACACGAGTCGGGTAACTGGTCACTACCACTACACGAGTCGGGTAACTGGTCACTACCACTACACGAGTCGGGTAACTGGTCACTACCACTACACGAGTCGGGTAACTGGTCACTACCACTACACGAGTCAGGTAACTGGTCACTACCACTACACGAGTCGGGTAACTGGGGTCACTACCACTACACGAGTCGGGTAACTGGGGTCACTACCACTACACGAGTCGGGTAACTGGTCACTACCACTACACGAGTCGGGTAACTGGTCACTACCACTACACGAGTCGGGTAACTGGTCACTACCACTACACGAGTCAGGTAACTGGTCACTACCACTACACAGAAAATGCTGCCATTAGGGTGAGCAGCGGCGAACAGTTAAAGGATTAGTGTTCACTCGAGCCTGCCATTCCAGGCCGGGGAGAGAAGTGACCAGCAGTTAGGGGCCACCTTTACTACCCCCAACATCACCTGGCTAAACAACTTTACCCAATTGTTTAGCAACACATCGCCTTATTCCCTAACCTTGATCAACAGTAAATATTTGATTTTCTTTCTAGAGTTTCAGAAACAGGATTAAAGTACTGGCCCCCTGTGGGACACCCACCACCTGACGCCTGTTCCCTCACCATGACTCTCTGTCTCCCGTTGCTTAGGTACTCCTGAAGCCGCCTGTCTTCCTAAAATGACGCTACTCATAGCATGTTGTTGTTGCTAAAGATTCGCTACCTGGAACAAAGTTCCAAGTAGCACGGGCTATGGTGAGCCCGTAGATATTTTACTCATAGCAATTGTTGATCGAACGTACACAAATGAACTGTTGCATACATATAATAGTTTTAATATTTTTTATATTATGTAGAGAGTATGAGGAAGAAAGCCACAGCTAAGTTTCAATTTCCTGGATCTAGTTTAGCCTATATATGTAAACAAAAATATATTAGGCCTACAATGGCATATATTAGGCTGTAATATTGCTTATTTTTAATCTAGAAGAAGCAAGGTTATGTTGCACAGTTATTGATTTTTGTGGTGACCTTTGGAGTACTCCAGGAGTACACAACCTCTCGTGGGGTACAAGGGGGGTACAACTCGTGGGGTACAACTCTAGGGGTACAATGGGTACAACTCGTGGGGTACAAGGGGGTACAACTCGTGGGGTACAACTCTTGGGGTACAAGGGGGGTACAACTCGTGGGGTACAAGGGGGGTACAACTCTTGGGGTACAAGGGGGGTACAACTCGTGGGGTACAACTCTTGGGGTACAAGGGGTACAACTCGTGGGGTACAACTCTAGGGGTACAATGGGTACAACTCGTGGGGTACAAGGGGGTACAACTCGTGGGGTACAACTCTTGGGGTACAAGGGGGGTACAACTCGTGGGGTACAACTCTTGGGATACA